TTATAAAATCTGTGTTTGGGTAGAGAAGAGAAGAAGTTCCTGGAGTGCAGCCAAGATGGTAGAGTAGAAGAAGCACTACAAGCAAGCTTACCCAACATTTTCCTCCAATTTTAAAATTCTGGAGAGTGAAGAGCTGGTTGAATAAAAATACTTTATTTTCCAGAGAAGCAACCTGAGAAGCTCTGCAGTGATGTGACTTAAAGGAAGAATTTGCCATTACAATAATGTGACACTTTCTGAAGGCCCTGTTAAGGATCACTATTAGTTGAAGGAATTTGTTATTGCTTCATCAGTTTGAAAGCAAAAGAAGAGATGCTTTGTCCAGAAGGAATCCACTTGTAGCTGAAGGACAACAGTTAGTATAGAAACAACTTTGGTGATGCAGATTGTTCTTAAAAAGATCAAGGACATGAAGTTCTACAGTTCATACTTGTGAGTTTCCTTGAATACATGAAATTTCTGCACTAATATGCCTCTCAATTAAATTACTCTATTTTTTTAAAAAAGTTCCATTTTTCTAATTATGTGCGAAAAATTAACATTCATTTTTTAAAAATTTTGAATTCGGAGGGGTGGAGCCAAGATGGCAGCGTGAAAGCAGTGACTTGCTTGAGCTCTCCCCCAAACCACTCCAAATACCCATAAAAAATGGCTCTAAACAAATTCTAAGGCAGCAGATCCCACAAAAAGACAGAGTAAAACAAATTTCCAGCCCAAGACAGCCTGGATGGTTGATCGGAACGGCATGTCATGCTGGGCAGGGAGAGAAGTACAGTTCGGTGTGGGCAGGCAGGCCACAGTGAACCTAGAGCAGGCTTCAGAGTACTGAATCATGGGCAGTTGTGGTGGCTTCCACACTCCTCAATCCAGGAATGCCAAAGACAGCTTAGAAGGTTAGTGGGAAAAGTGTGCTTTTGCAGTGAGAGAAGAGCTAGGTCAGAGCCAGTTTCACAGTGCAGAGCTCAACTGCTGGGGCAGTGGCTGTGTCCTGAGCTTCTGGCCCACAGACTGAGGAGGAATCAAGTAGCTGATCAGAAGGAGACTGCAGGGATCTCTTTGCTGGTGCTGAGGCAGGAATCTCTTGCTTTGGCCATGCTTGGCTCTGGGTCACAGTTCTGGGTGGCGGTCCTGGGGTAAGGAGGAGCACTGGTGCTTTGGTGGAGAGGAAACCCTCCTCACAGTTCCAAGAGAGAAAAGACTGCTTGTGGTGGGCCACTCAAACACCAGAGCTCAGGCCAGGAAAAGAGTAAACACCTCAACCCTTATCATACCACCCTGGAAGAACTGAAAATTTACAGGTCCCTAGAAGTATCCCTGAAAACAGCTATACAACCCCCCGAAGCTTGGGACAGTACATTCTCCACATTGGAAGCAGACTCTTACCTTAACAAAGAGATTAAAACTCAAGTAGTTGCTGGGATCATGAGCAAAGCTTGCAAAAAGAGTCAGACTATATTATCTTACTTTGGTGACAAAGAAGATCAAAACATACAACCAGAAGAAGACAACAAAGTCAAAGCCCTCACATCCAAAGCCTCCAAGAAGAATACAAATCAGTGCCAGGCCTTGGAAAAGCTCAAAAAGGGATTTTGAAAAGCAAGAAAGAGAAGTAGAGGAAAAACTGGGAAGAAAAATGAGAGTGATGCAAGAAAATCACGAAAACAAGTCAACAGCTTGCTAAAGGAGACCCCAAAAAATACTGAAGAAAATAACACCTTAAAAAATTGGCTAACCCAAATGGCAAAAGAAGTCCAAAAAGCCAATGAGGAGAAGAATGCCCTAAAAAGCAAAATTGGCCAAATGGAAAAGGAAGTTCAAAAGCTTACTGAAGAAAATACTTCCTTAAAAATTAGAATAGCACAATTGGAAGATAGTGACTTTATGAAAAATCATGACATAGTAGAACAAATCCAAAAGAATGAAAAAATAGAAGAGAATGTGAAATATGTCATTGGAAAAATAACTGACCTGGAAAATAGATCCAGGAGAGAGAATTTAAAAATTATTGGACTATCTGAAAGCCATGATCAAAAAAAGATCCTAGACATCATCTTTCAAGAAATTATCAAGGAAAACTGCCCTGATGTTTTAGAACCAGAAGGCAAAATAGAAATTGAAAGAATCCACTGATCTGTGTTCCTGAAAGAGATCCCCAAAGGAAAACTTCTAGGAATATTGTAACCAAATTCCAGAGTTCCCAGGTGAAGGAGAAAATATTGCAAGCAGCCAGAAAGAAACAATTCAAGTACTGTGGAAACACAATCAGGATAACACAAGATTTAGTAGCATCTACATTAAGGGACAGGAGGGCATGGAATATAATATTCTAGAGGGCAAAGTAGATAGGATTACAACCAAGATCCACCTACCCAGCAAAACTGAGTATAATTGTTCAGGGAAAAAAATGGGCATTCAGTGAAATAGAGGCCTTTCAAGCATTCTTGATGAAAAGACCAGAGCTGAATAGAAAATTTGATTTTCAAGTAGAAGACTCAAGTGGAACTTGAAGAGGTAAACAGGAAAGAGAAATCATAAGAAACTTATTAAGGCTGAGCTGTTTACATTCCTGCATGGAAAGATGATATTTATAACTCATGAGACCTTTGTCAGTATTAGGGTAGTGGGAGGGGAAAAATTATATGTATGTATAGATGGATAGATAGATGAGACAGACAGACAGATAGATAGATAGATAGATAGATAGATAGATAGATAGATAGATAGATAGATAGATAGATAGAGGGCACAGGGTGAGTTGAAGATGAAGGGGTGAAATCTAGAAAAAAATTAAGGGGTGAGAGAGGATTATACTAGAAGGAGAAAGGGAGAGGTAGAATGGGGTACATTATCTTGCACAAAACAGACAAGAAAAGGTTCTTACAATGGAGGGGAAAGAGGGGAAGGTGAGAGGAAATGAGGGAATCTTATTCTCATAGGATTTGGCTTAAGGAGAGAATAACATTACACTCAATTGGGTATGGAAATCTGTCTTACCCTACAGGAAAAAAGGGGAGGAAGGGGACAAGAGATCAGGGGGAAGATAGAGAGAAGGGCAGATTGGGAAAGGGGCAATCAGAAGGAAGTACTTCTGAGGGGGAACAGGGTCAAAAGAAATAATAGAATAAATAGGGGGGCAGGATAGGATTAAGGGAAATAGTTTTTTACAATATGTCTACTATGGAAGTGTTTTGCATAACTGCACATGTATGGCCTTATTGACTTGCTTGCCTTTTCAATGATGGTGGGTGGGGTGGGAGGAAGGGAGAAAATTTGGAACCCAAAGTTTTTAAAACACATGTTTAAAACAGATGTTTCCACATGCAACTGGGAAATAATACAGGAAATGAGGTACAGAAATCTATCCTGCCCTACAGGAAAATAGAAGGGGAAGGGGTAAGAGAAGTGGGTGGGGAGAGATAGAAGGGAGGGCAGACTAGGGGAAGGGGTATTCAGAATGCATGCCATCTTGGGGTGGCGGGAGGGGAAAGATGGGGTGAAAATATGGAATTTAAAATCTTGTGTAAGTAAATATTGAAAACTAAAAATAAATTAATATTAAAAAAAGAAAGACAAAAATAAAAATAAAAATTTTGAATTCAAAATTCTGTCCCTCCTTTCTTCCCTTCTCCCTGATTGAGAATGCAAGCAATTTGACATAGGTTGCTGTATATGTATGGTCCCTCAAAACATATTTCCATATTAGTCATGTTGTGAAAGGAAAAAAAAAACAGCAAGGAAAAGAAAACTTAAGAAAAGCAAATTTTAAAAAAGGATGCTTTGATCTGCATGTAGATTGTCATTTCTTTCTCTGGAGGTGGATAGTATTTTTATTTTCTTAGGTCATTATATTGCTGTGAATAAATGTCATTCACAATTGATCATGGCACACTATTGAGGTTGCTATGTAAAATATTTTCCTGGTTCTGCTCACTTCACTTTGCATGAGTCATGTATGTCTTTCCAGGTTTTTCTTAAAGCATCCTCCTCCTCATTTCTTATACTACAATAGTATTCCATCACAATCATATATCACAACTTGTTCAGCCATTCCCCAATTGATGGGCATCCCCTCAATTTCCAATTCTTTGACATCACAAAAAGAGCTGCTATCAATATTTTTGTACATATAGGCCCTTTTCCTTTTATTTTTGTTTTGGCCAGAATATGGAATTTTGGATTGGGGATTGATAGGAATGATGAGTAGATCTATGAAATGATTGATATTTTTCTTCAGGAAGTAATAATAGTATCGATTTTGTATCTGTGCCCAAAGCAGTGGGTGGAAAGGTATGGGTGAAGAGTCATACATAGCAGCAGAAATGAAATGACTGAATGGAATGTGTAGCATGGAATAGATGGGTCATAATGAGCTAGGTGACTTTACAATAACTCAAACCAGTGAAGATACTATAGCTCTAGGAGAGGAGTTCAACACCTCAGTCATTTTTCCATGTTTCCTGGCCCCCTAACTAGTGACTAGACTCCTGAAATTATCTTGCATTTACTTATCTTTTTTCCATTATGGAACTGTTTCTCATTTCTGTTTTTGTATCTCTGGCACCCAGCATAGTACCTTGCAATACACATTTTTTGTTGTTGTTGAGTTGTTTCAGTTGCATCTGATTCTTCATGACCCTATTCTTGGCAAAGATACTGGAGTGGTTTGCCATTACCTTCTCTGGATAATTTTACAGATGAGGAACTGAAGCAAACAGGGTTAAGTGACTTGCCCAAAGTCATATAACTAGTAAGAGTCTGAGACCAGTTTCAACTTAGGAAGATGAGTCTTCCTGACTGCAAGCCTAGCACTCTACCCACTGAGCCACACATAGTGAGTGCTTATATATCTATTGCTTTAAACTGATTGGAGACAAACTATTAGAAAAATCTGCCTACTGGAAGCGTATCTGGTTATGTAACTCATTTACACTATAATTAGATTAACCTGCATGCTACACAGTGGACATACATGTATAAATAACTATGTATTTTAAATTTAGGTATGTTTCTTGTACCCTGGGATGCCCATATGAAGGACACATTGCACCTGAAAAAGTGGCCGAAGTAAGAATACATCTGTTGTCCTTAGAACATCATAAAGTTATCTATATGTTTTGAATGAGCTAGTAATTTTCTTTGTCCTGTTTATCTGTGTGAAGTTCTATAAAAAGGATAATATCCCTATGAATTCATTCTTTTTTGCTCATTGTAAAACATGCAAGCACAAAAAGTTTGGAATGTTAGAATTGCTGTTGGTTAATTAACTCTGTTGTTTCAATGGTGGTGGGAGGGAAGGAAGGAGAATCGCCTAATTCATTTTTTGGCCCCAAAGAGATTATATTGATTAAATAAATTTCCAATTTCAACCACATGTGGCAACAGACATAAAGTTTTATTATATTTATACACATATTTTCTTTTTAATGGTACTGTTTTTTGTGTCTATAATAGAATATATCTGAAGTGCTTTTGAAAAATTAAACTTGAATTGTCCCATTTCTAAGGTTTTTGTTTCAACTGTGTTTAACTAAAAACTGAATTCAAAGGGACCTGCATTTTGGTGAGTTGTTATGAAAGCTCAACTGTGCTAAGAACAGTGGTGGATAACAAATTTAGAAATGAGAATTGAGGCATGGCAAACGTGCACTATAATCCATTGGAAGCTGTTCCTCTGTTAACTAATTAAAATCCTGTGACATTTCTTTGCAGTCTTCAAAAGAAGAAAGTATATATCCTGGTTCTCAAAAACATAAGGTTGTATATGTGAATAGTTTTCAAGTTTATTTTTTTAAAAGACAACATAGATATTATAGTTTAATTTTTATCATTTCCTATCAGCACATTTAGTATATGTTAGTTTGTTTCCTACTGTTCATTTTTCTGGACTTAGTCCAAGTCATTTTTCATATCATTACTATTCTTGAGTTAAACTAGAAAGTACTTTTAATGACATTAAAATTCAAAGAAAATAGCTGTAGATTAACAATAAAACATTCCAATATGGATTAACAGGATTTTAGTTCTTGGGTGGCTAAGGAATTTGCTTGGCTTTTGGCCTAATCATTTTTAGTTTATCCCAAGAGCAATAATGAACTCTGTCAGATCTCATTATGTTATTACATCACAGAAAGATTTTGGTTGGGGCTCTTTTGGTTGTTCTTAATATTCTTCCCTTCAAATGAAAAAAAAATCTCACCAGGATGTAATGCTCTTTTGTTTTTCTTTTTTCCATGTCTGTCTCCTTAGAGCTTTAGAGCACTTCCTCACTGAATGGAGTCTCAGGAGATCTTAGTCAGCTGACAGTAAAATCATCTGAGTAGAATTCAATAAAGTTAAACTACAGTATGAAAAATCCATATATTTAGAGGGAAATAGAAGTGATGTCTTCATGCATTATTGAGCTTAGTAAAACTTTTACCAGAATCTCTGTTATGCTTTACTTAACTCTTAAAGATCATGAAGTGATCCCAAATTCTTAATAGCATCTATTTTATTTTAAAAAGGTACATGGGGAAAAAATCCTGGCAACTCCAATCATTTAACACTGGATGAAATGAGTTTAGTATGTCAAAAGAGTCTATGTAATGTAATCTATAGAATGCTGCTCTTGGAGTAAGAGACCAGGGTATAAATTCCTGAGTTTATGCTTAATAGTTGTAACCATAGACATATTACTTAAATCTTACAGGATGTCAGTTTCCTCATCTCTAAAATGGGAACAATAATCCTTCTAATGTTTTCCTCAAAGGGTTGCTGTGAGGTTCAAATAATCTCATTGTATGTGAAGTACTATAGAAATGTCAATGATTATTATTTAACAAGAAGAGTTTTTTATTTACCTAAGCCATACAATTATTAACTTCTTTGAAAGAATGAACACTGTACAACACAGAACTGAAGTGTATCTTTAGTTATATGTACATAGCAGGTACCAAACTCCTTAGGCAACTTCCGTTGTTAACTAATTTCAATTAAAGAAATTATAACATTCCTTCAGAAGCATGCAACCCAGGCTATCCTTTAAACACATTGGCAGAATTCCTCTGAAATTCTTGAACAGCTTTCAAAGACAGATACTTCCAAGAAAACCTGTAGACCTTAAAGTGACTTGCATTTCAAGCTTCCCTACCCCCCTCCACAGCTGAGGAAATTGAGGCCTAGTAGGTAAAATGACTTGCTTCAGGTCATTTAGTTGATTAGTATCAGAATCAAGAAAAGAGCACAGGTCTGCAAACATGTATTCTTAGCTTTTCTGACTATACAATTTTGCCAGTGAATTAGACAAGACTAAGGATTTTAACTTACAATTTTTTATACAGATTGAACTATATAGGGTTATGTTCATGTTTCTCTCTTTTGTGGGGGTGTGGAGAGATAGAAGCATGCTAAGGCTGATCAGTTTTGAAACTTATAGTCTTAGGTGTCTGGGGGTATTGAAAGGTATAAGTTGCCCGGGGTCATGTAGCCAGTATGTGTCAAAAATAAGACCTGAACCCAGGCCTACCCCACTCACATGCATGTTCCCAATCTGATGAGTCACTACTTCATAAATTCACTTAATGAAATATAAGCTAATAAAGGCAATCAGTTAAATTATAGCATTTTATTATAAAGATAATCATTGCTGTTTAAATCAAGATTTAGAGTATCTCATCAGGCAGAAAATTAGGGCAGAAAATAGTGAAAAAAATATGATTTAATTATTTCCATTCTCACAAATGAAATGGAGGAATTTCATACAAGAGATATCTGTTGCTGCAAGTTATCTTGAAGAGTCAGTGCTTTTTTTTTTCCACTACAAAGAATTTTTACCTCTAAATGATCTCTTCTGCAGGACTATGAGGCTTATGTGCCTGTTTATTTTTCATGTCTGTTCAATTTCAGCATTTTAATAGATCTTATCCTTTCTCAACAGGTGTCTAAGCAGTTGTATAGCATGGGCTGCTATGAGATCTCTCTGGGGGACACAATTGGAGTGGGAACTCCTGGAAGTATGAAAAGAATGTTGGAAAGTGTTATGAAAGAAATCCCACTAAGTGCTCTTGCTGTTCACTGTCATGACACATATGGGCAAGCTTTAGCAAATATTCTTACAGCTTTGCAGGTAAATCTAATCCTTCCTTCCTTTCTGCCTCCCTCCCTCTCTCTTTCTCCTTTCCTTCCTTCCTTCGTCCCTCTGTTCCTGCCTTCCTTCCTTCCTTCCTTCCTTCCTTCCTTCCTTCCTTCCTTATTTCTTTTCTCCCTTCCTCCCTGTCTCCTTCTCATCTTCCTTCCCACTTCCTTCCTTTTCCCTTTATCTCTCTCTTCTCTCCTTCCTCCTCTTTTTTCTTTCCATGTTGAATTTTGCTTTTAAAGTAAAAATGAAGTTTTAGAAGGTATGTTGTATATATGTGATTACCATGAAGGAAAGGATTGACAAAAAAGTATTATGATCATTTTAATGTTTTTCTGTCATGACTAGAAGTAAATCGTGTCAATTTGGGCAATTAATAAATAGATTATAGGTGTATAAGCTGTCACAGCAATGTAGAGTAACACTGATTAATGGGCATGCTGCCAAATGAAAACTCCAAGTTATTTGTATTCTGATAGAGCTTACATTGCCTGGAAAATGACAAAGAACAAAAACAAAAAAAATCCTGCTTTCAAAAGCTACATTTGAAGACTTCAAACAAGTTTAACAGATTGTTAGGAATCATTTGAAAGACTGTATATTTCATAGTATACATCAATGGAAGTGTAAGAACCTAAGCTTTGTGATTAAGCAAATACAGTTCAGTTTAAGTTTATTTATAATAATGGAATACCCAAACTTACTTTAATTACTAGGGGACAATGGGAAATATTTTCTGAATCTATTCAAGTTTAGACATGCAAGTCTGAATTTTTCTCTTAACTACTATCAAGGGAGGAAATGAGGTATAAACAAGGAGCAAAGGAGCAAAGGATGTTATTAAGGTAGGGCCTGACTCAAGCTATCAGTGTATGAGTTTAGGTTGTTTATAGAAAGAAATTATTTTCTGGGATGAACTTTCAAAAGTTAGCAAAAGGAGGCTTACTTAGCCATAAGATAGAAAGGATATTTCATGAGGATGTTATAGCACTTAGCTCATGTGGATGTGGCCCTATTTACCTCCCTGTGGAAACATATTTGGCCAGCAGGGCAAAATGTGGTGACTCTCCTGCCATTAAGAACATTATTGAATTTGAAGGACTCCAACTCCCTATGGGTGAGCATTTTTATTTCCTTAGGTGACCGTGTCAGCATGTCCAGAGTCTATGAAGTAGCTTAGTCAGTCAACAGAGACACAGTCCCAGGCCATTCAAGTCACACTGACAGTTTTGTCTTCATTGAAAGGTAAATGGCATAACTCATGTTGGGGAAGAGGGAGAGAGCACTGGTAGATATTGCTTTAATCATAGATGGGTAAAGAAAGAAAAAGGTAAGAGATTTTTATCAAATCCTAGGAATAAGGATGCATTTCCCTCAAAACCATTGAACTGTCCTCCTTCAATCTGGATATGTTTTATCCCAAACTCATTAAATCCAAAAATGAACTTGTCCTTCACCCCAATCCTACCTTTCTCTTTTTCTATTGAGAGCCACTGTTCTTCCAGTCATAGTTTTATACTTTCACAATAATTTTCAGTTTCTCACTTTCCCTTGCATCATATATCTGATAACTTGCTAAGTTTTAATGATTCAGTCTTTATAACATCACTGTCATCAATACCCTTTTCTCTCTTATCTTGGCCACCACCCTAATCCATACCTTCATAACCTCTCACTTGGGCTATTGCAATAACCTCTTAATTGGTCTTTATGCCTTAAGACTCCCCAACCCCTTTCCAATACATCCTCCACACAAATACCAAGCTCAGGTCTGAACACATCATTCTTCTATTAAATAAAATCCAGGCACTCCCCATTGCCTTTAAAATCAAGTATAAATCCTTTGTTTGAAATTTATAGCCTTTAGAACCTGGCTCCAATCTGATTTTCTGGACTTGTTATTCATAATTGTCCTTCATGCAGTCTACAGACCAGTCAAAACAACCTTGCTCAGCATACACTAGATTGCATCTCTCATCTCTGGTGTTTCTGCACTTGCATTTTCATATTTTCACACTTTTTGCATTGAAGTCTTACATACCAAATCTGTATTGATCTAATTTGGGGGAAGGTCCTTATCAAATTTTTTTTAGAATTTTTATAACCTCTTCATCTTCTGCAACTGATTTTGGCATATAGGCTGTAATTATTTTCCTTGTGGTCTTTGTGAGGAAAAAAAACAACAAAATTATGAATACTAAAATGTGAGATGACCAAATATTTCATAAAACAATGTTTTTGTACCCTTTGGGCATGTAATAAAACCAACTCTGCCACTTCCTTTGTTTGATTCTCTATAGAGTAATTGTGAGCCATTTATTTTCCTTTATAGCAAGAATTCCACGATTTATGTGGTTTAGCAATATGTCCAAGCATTGTCATTGAACATGTATCTCACATTTAGAGACGCAAGAGTAAAATAAAAGTTTATAGATAGTATAAAACAGAAGTTCTTGACGTGGTTAACATGAGGTCTGTGAATTTTTAAAAATGATAACTGTATTTTAACATGATTGGTCTCCTTTGTATTCCAATATATTTTATTTTATGCACTTAAAAACATTCTGAGAAGGGATGTGAAGACGTCACCAGAATAGCAAATGGACCCATGTTACAAAAAAGTTTAAAACCCCTAATCTAAGAACTGTGATTCTCAACACTCTTAATCCACACATAACCTCCAGTCTCCTGACTCTTCAGTTCTTTCCATAAGCCATCTTTCCTGCACTAGCCATTCTCTCCTCTTCTCCCTATCTTGACTCCTTGGCGAACCAATTCAACTCTACACTGTCCCTAAATGAATACCTTGCCTTTTTACCGTATCACTTGTTTGTGTCCAGGCAAGCCTCAGCCTTGGGTCATTCTCGCTATGTGCTGGCTTCACTCCTACACATACTATTGATTGAAGGTGGAAAAAGTCATGCAACCAATCTGAGGAGGTCCACTATAAAATTATGTTATGTAACCTCAACTGGGCCTTCACTGTTGCTAGGCCCTCCTACTATACTACCTTTATCAACTCACTATTCCACTCTCTACAGTAACTCTTCAAAACCTTTTCTTTCTTCCTTAAAACTCCCATGACTCCCTCACCCATATTCTCAGATTAAAACTTGGCCTCTTACTTTTCACAAAAAATTGAGGTGATTCACCATGAACTCTGTCTTCTTATCTCTTCCTCATCTCCTGTCATTCATGTGCCTTCTGTGACTTTTTTTTTCCTTCACCCCTGTCTCACAAGATGAGGCAGTTTTACTCCTTACCAAGGCTAACCTCTCTACCTGTTCAAGTGATTCCATTTTTTGCCATCTCCTTCATCAGATTGTTCCCTCTATCATCCACACTTTTTCACTTGTTTTCAATCTTTCCCTCTTTACTGGATCATTTAGTACTGCCTACAAACATGCCCATGTCTCTCCTATACTGAATAAACAAAAACAAACAAACAAAAACAACTTACTCGATCTTTCCATCCATGTTAACCATCTTCATATATATTTTTTGGCACTTTGTAGATAAATTCTTTGAAAAACATCAACTCTAGTAGGTTCTTCCACTTCCTCTCTTCTCTCTCTTCTCAACCCATTACAATCTGGCTTCTGACATTATTATTCCACTGAAAATGCTCTTTCCAAAATTACCAATGATCTATTAGTTGCCAAATCCAATGGCCTTTTCTCAATTTCCATTCTCCTTAACTTCTTAGTGGCCTTTAACACTACTGATACTCTACTCTCTAAGTTTTCAGACAGCACACTTTCCTGGTTTTCCTCTTACCTGTCTGACCATTTCTTATCTGTCTCCTCTGCTAGATAGTCTTCCAGATCATGCTGTCCAACTGGAGGTGTCACTTAGGGTTCTTTCCGGGGCCCTCTTTACTTCTTCTTCTTTATTATAACACTTGGTGATCTCATCAGCAACCATGGATTTAATTTAATTTGTTCTATTTGCTAATGACGCTCATATCTACTTTTCTTACCCCAATCACTCTGCTGACCTTCAGTCTCACATCTCCAACTGCTTTTCAGAAATCTCAGACATGTCCAGTAGGTACCTTAAATCCTATATGTCCAAAATACAGCTTATTATATTTCCTCCTTGACCTACCTCCCTACCTTCTCTCACCATTCATATCCTAGCTGTTGCCGTTGTCAATTTAACCTTTGCAACATCTCTCAAATATATCCTTTTCCTTCTCTCCTCTGATACTGTGAGCACTCTAGTGCAGGTCCTTATCACTCCTGGATTATTGCAATACTCTCATGTCTTTCCTCACTCCAAATCACTCTGCATTCACACACTAAAGTAATTTTTCTAAAATGCAAGTCCAATCATGTGTCCCGCTCCTCATACCTCCTGCCCATATAACACAGTAAATTTCACTGGCTTCCTAATGCCTACAGTGTGTGTAAATACATGCTCTGTTTAGCATTCAAAACTCTTAATAACCTGGCCCAAACCTTTACCATTCCAATCTTCTTGTATCTTATCCTTTAATCTAGTGACACTGGCTTCCTGTCTGTTCACTAACAAGACAAGAGATGGAGTGTCCATCTCTAGGCTCTGCACAGTTTCTCTGTCCATCCCCCATTCCTGGAATGCTCTCCCTACTTCTCTCTAGCTACTGACTTCTCTGGCTTCCTTTAAGTACCAGTTAAAATCCCGCCTTCTATAGGAAGCTTTCTTTTTTTTTTATTTCTCACATTTTTTTTTGCATATTTTATTAATTTTGATTTATCAACAATCACTTCCACATGCTTTTGAGTTTAAAATTTTTCTCCCCCTTCCTCCCCACCACCCTCCCCCAAACGCTGCACAATCTCATATAGGCTATACATTTACGTTCCTATTAAACATATTTTCACATTAGTGAAGTTGTAAGTAAAAATTAAAACCAATAGGAGGAACCATCAGAAAGAGGAAACAAAACTCAAGAGAAGAGAAAAAAAAGATAGCTATTCAACTTTCACAGTTATGATTACTATCTGTGT